GTTTATTTATTTGAAAGGCAGAGTTAGAGAGACAGAGACAGAGAGAGAGGTCTTTCACCTGCTGGTTCACTCCCCAGTGGGCAGCAATAGCCGGAAATGCACCTATCCAAAGCCGGGAGCCAGGAGCTTCTTCCTGGTCTCCCATGTGGGTGCAGGGGCCCGTGGACTTGGGCCATCTTCTACTGCTTTCCCAGGCCATAGCAGAGAGCTGGATTGGAAGTGGAGCGGCTGGGACTTGAACTGGTGCCCATATGGGATGCCGGTGCTTCAGGCCAGGGCTTTAACCCGCTGTGCCACAGCGCCGACCCCAATACATAAGTCTGTAAAAAAACAAAAAAACCCTTGGAGACAGGCACTCAGCACAGTTGACTTGAACTGGTGTTCATATAGGATGTCGGCACTGCAGGCTGTGGCTTTACCTGGTATGCCATGGCTCCGGCCCCTCCAGTATTTTCTGAAAACATTATGGTCATCTGCTGTTCTCTTGTATTATCTGATAGCAAATCCTTGTTTATGGAATTGCTTCTTGTATTGGGTGCTGAGAAACGTGTTGAAGTCTCCCACGGAGCAGCACGTGTGCCAGTCTGCTTTGCCTGTTTCTGGGCTCTGGTCCCCTCCACCATCCCCACCCTCCCTGGTACTGAAATGAGAAGTCTAGGCGTGCTGCTGCCTGTTCCTGGTTTCCCGTGGAGCTCCGAGTGGCCTCTTGTCCTTGGGACCTTGCCTCTGTGCCCCCTCCTCCTTCTGTAGCCACCTGGCCATGTCTGCATCTTTTTGACTTCTCTTTCTTCCCGGAGCTGCAGCTCTGAAGCAGCTGTGTCTCTTGTGGGATCCATTCTGGCTGCATGAATGGCCACTGGCAGTTTAATGGCCTCCACAGAATCTGGAGAAAGATTTCAGTTCAGTTAGCGCAGAGTGTCCAGGGCCACATGTAGTCGAATGAGCAGTGATGGAAGGAAAGGAACATGGCACAGAATTGGGCACCAGCACTGATGGCAGAGGCCAGGCTCTCTCAGAAGGGTCGATGGGTGGAGGAGGCACCAACCGACATGTCCATACAGACTCAGAAATGGCCCTGGGACAACTGGTTCATTACATCACTTACATTGTGAGAGATTTACCTCTTGGACCAAAGTAAGGTTCATATGGATTCAAGGTCCCCGTAAAGGGGCTGGCTGGTGTTGCGGTGTAGTGGGTTAAGCTGGTGCCTGCGATGCTGGCATCTCGTGTTGGAGTCCCAGCTGCTCTGCCTCCCATCCAGCTCCCTGCTCATGTGCCGGGGAAAGCAGCAGATGGCCCAAGTGATTGCACCCCTGACTCACATGGGGGAAAAGCCCATTTTCTGCTTCATCCCCCAGATGCTGGGTGCCAGGAACTGAATCCAGGTTTCTGGGTGGTAGCAGGGACCCAATTACTTGAGTCACTGTGTGCCACTCCCCAGGGTGCACATTAGCAGGAAAGTGGAATTGGGAGCAGAGCCGGGACTCACCCCAGGCACGTCAGTATGGATTTCAGCATCCTAACTGGCACCCTAACTGCTATACAGATATCAAGCCTGGAGCTTATCTTTGAAGTTTACTTATTTACTTATTTATTTGGGAGGCAGACAGAGACCTGCCATCTACTGGTTTACTTACAAAATGCCCACAACTGCCAGGGCTGGGCCAGGCCATTATGCTGCCTCCCAGGAACCACACAAGCAGGAATGCAGGATGAAGCTCCGGTTTTACTCCTCTTCCCTTGCTGCCTGGATTGTTCTTCCTGTGTCAGAGTTCCTTTCTCTCATCCTTTCTTTTCCTCCCTCCCTCCCGTAGAGTCACAGGTGGTGAGAGGGAGAAACAGAGAGAGAGGTCTTCCATCTGTTAGTTCACTCCCCAAATGGCCGCAACGGTTGGAGCTGCGCTGATCCAAAGCCAGGAGCCAGGCACTTCTTCCCGGTCTCCCATGTGGGTGCAGGGACTTGGGCCACAGATTTGGGCCATCTTCTACTGCTTTCCCAGGCCACAGCAGAGAGCTAGATTGGAAGAGGAGCAGCCGGGACTAGAACTGGTGTGTCCATTTGGGATGTCAGTGCCGCAGGTGGAGGATTAACCTACTGTGCCACAGTGTCCCCCCCCCCCCCCCATTCTTTCTTTTAAAGGTTAATTGACTTATTTGAAAGGCAGAGTTACAGAGAGAAAGGGAGAGACGGAGGTCTTCCATCTGCTGATTCCTTCCCCAAATGGCTGCAGTGGCTGGAGCTGGGCCAGTCTGATGCCAGGAGTCTCTTCCAGGTCTCCCACGTGGGTGCAGGGGTCAAGCACTTGGGCCGTCCTCTGCTGCTTTCCCAGCTACACCAGCAGGGAGCTGGATCAGAAGTGGAGCAGCCAGAATTTGAACTGGCACCCATATGGGATACTGGCACTGCAGGCAGAGCTTTACCCACTGCCCCACAGTGCTGGCCACTCAGAGCTCATTGTCTCCTTGAGGGCTCTCCTGCAATCTTTGTTTGTGCCTCTTCATCTGGATTGCTGATGCTCTTCACCGTCATCTTAGACTTCTTAAAGACGCCTTCCTGAGTTACTTGCATTATTTTCTGTAGTTTCATGCTGTGCTCTTTCGTAGCTAGTTTTCCTTTTTTGCTGGAGTCCGTCTTCCGGTGCGCACTGGGAAAGTGTGCACATAGCAGAACTGGAGTCCCTGGGGGTCAGAGGATGCTACTTTTCTCTCATACTCAAAGAGATTTTATTTGAAAGAGCAACAGAGAAGGGGTCACACACACACACACACACGCACACTGATCTTCCACCCACTGGTTTACTCCAGAATGGCTGCGACAACCTGGTCTGGACCAGGCTGAAGCCAGGAGCTGGGAACTCCAGCGAGGTCTCATGTGGGTAGAAGAGACCTAAAGTAGTTGGGCCGTTTCCACTGCCTCCCAGATGCACTAGTGGGGAGCTGGATCAGGAATCAGAAGCGGAGCAGGCAGGACTTGAACTGCCAGCCTCATGTGGGATGCTGGTGTCACACGCAGCAGTTAACCTTCCGTGCCATGACTCCGGTCTCTCTGCTCACGGCTGATTAGTGCTTTTGCTGGATTTAGAATTTTATATTGAGCATAATTCCACTCATAATTTTGCAGCTATTATTCCCTTCCTTTTAGCGTCCTTTGGCCGTTCTGGATGTATCTTGTTCTGTTTGTGCCGATGCTGTCGTCTTTCCACCCGCAGCAGGTCCTGCCGTGGGAGTGGTGAGGCACCAGGGAGCTGCAGTTCTCTCTGAGAGGCCTGTTAGGTGGCTGTCTTACGGGAATAATATTTTTCTTCATAATCTTTGTCTTTCTGGGAGGTTTTTTCAGGTATTTTTGTTTAATTTTGTTTCCAAAATTATGTTTTTAAATTTCCTTTTAAAAAAAGATTTATTCATTTATTTGAAAGAGTTACAGAGAGGGAGAGACAGAAAGAGAGGTCTTCCATCTGCTGGTTTACTCCTCAGATGGCCACAACGGCCAGAGCTGGGTCGATCCGAAGCCAGGAGCTTCTTCTGGGTCTCCCACGTTAGGTGCAGGGGCCATCTTCCTCTGCTTTCCCAGACAGGGAGCTAGATCAGAAGTAGAACAACTGGGACTCAAACTGGTACCCATATGGGATGCTGGCACTGCAGGCAGTGGCTTAACCTGCTACCCTACGACGCCAGCCCCTAAATTTCTTTTTTTTTTTTAAGAGATGTATTTATTTATTTGAAAGAGTTGCAGCAAGAGAGGGAGAGACAGAGACAGAGAAGAGAGATTTTTCCATTTGCTGGCTTGCTCCCCAAAAGGCTACAGTGATCAGGACTGGGCGAGGCTGGAGCCAGGAGCTTAATCTGGGTCTCCCACGTGGTTGGAGGGGCCCAAGCTTTCCCAGGCTCCTGCTTTTCTAGATGCATTAGCATTAGGAGGGATCTGGATCAGAAGTGGAGCAGCTGGGACTCGAACCAGCACCTGTATGGGATGCTGGTGCTGCAGACGGTGGCTTAGCCTGCCGTGCCACAGTGCTGGCCCCACGTTTTCACATGTCTAATAGCTCTTTCTCTGTTCATGGCAAACCAGGGTTTTTCTGTGCTGCTGTCTTTTCCTCCTGTCTGTGGCCCTGCAGGTGCTGTTCCTTTCTGTGTGTGCTGTGCTCATGCATGCTGGGTCCTTCCCTGAGTCCTGGGGTCCTTGGTGCTGGGCTGTGTTTGAGAGGGCAACACTCAGGGCTGCCTACAGCCATATGCAGAGGGCTTTGTTCCCTGGCCACCTGCGCTTTAGAGGGTCTGAATGGCCATTAGCGGCTAGTTGGAGGAATTCCTGAAGACTCAGTGGGTAGGTTTTTCCTCTGGGTGCTTCAGTTTTCTAGGGAGCATCCTTTGACTCCCTGGTGCCGTGGTTTTGCGTGAGGAATGTGGACTAGTAATCCCCATGGAGGTCTGCTCCTCCCCTGCCCACCTTTTGACCAGCATACTTGTGTCCAGCCTCTCGTTTGCCCTCAGTGGAATCTGGCACATCCTCTTGGGTTATGGGGTCCCCATGTCTTTCCTCTTCCAGGTTCCCTCTGGCTGCACTGTGGGCCGTGGTTTCTTCCTTGTAACAGCATGCGCAGCAGTGGACTTCCAAGGACCCACTCTGGTCTCAGCTGCTCTTGGAGGCTGTTAGTGCTCTTTCAGCTGGCAGGCAATGGGCCTGGGATCTGTACCAGTTTCCCACCCCTTCCCCTCTCCCCTCTCTGCTGAAATGTCCCCTTTGCTGCAGCCCTCCTCCGTCCTCCTTGTCTGATCGCAGGGAAGAGTTGAAGGACTGCACAGCTTGGTCAGCTTTGAGCCTCACTGTCTCTTGTCCGTGTTTCCCTCCTGGGCATGGAGCATGGTGGTGGTAAGAAGGTCGGGTTTGTTTTAAGGTTAACAGGTTCAAAAGCACCAAACAACTTCAGAGGAGTAAAAGATTTGCCAAAGTTCATCCCAAACTCTAACTTCCTGTCCTAACATTTTATTTTAAAAACCAGGTCAGAAGAAGAGTGCACGCCAGTACCATGTGCAGTTCTTTGGCGACGCCCCGGAAAGGGCGTGGATATTTGAGAAGAGCCTGGTGGCTTTTCAAGGAGAAGAACAGTTTGAGAAATTGTGCCAGGAAAGTGCCAGGCAGGCACCTACAAAAGCTGAGAAAATTAAGGTGATACATATTCCTTCAGTGTACTTTTAGACCAACGTTTTCATTGTTATATAAACTGCTATTTGTCTTGTTCTGACGCAGTCCCTGGCTGCCTGTGTCTGCCATTGTTTGGTTTGTCCAGGGACGCTTTCTGCTAGCACAGGACAGGTTTCTCTGGTGCCGCAGCCTACTGCTCTCTCACTCTTTGGGTGATTCCCAGGGATAATTTGTTTTGAAGCTTTTATGTTCCTTTATATTTGTAGTCAATGCCATTGCTAATTAGTTATGCCATTGGAGTTGACGTCTAGTTTAAAGAAACAGTAGGGTTGCCATGTGGGACTGAATTCTCTCCAAAACCTAAGTTAGTTAGTTTTTGACCTTTGAATTTTCCTGACATTTTAAGTGTCCTTTTAAAAGGAGAGCTTTTCGTTTGTGTTTGTGTTTTGAGCTTACAGTGTCGCATGTTTTTCTTCTCAGCTCTTGAAGCCCATTTCAGGGAAACTGAGGGCCCAGTGGCAGATGGGCATTGTTCAAGCAGAAGAGGCAGCAGGCATGTCAGTCGAGGAGCGGAAAGCCAAGTTCACCTTCGTCTATGTGGGGGACCAGCTTCATCTCAACCCTCGAGTGGCTGAGGAGGCTGGCGTTGCTGTGGTGTGTCCGGGAGAAACGGCAGCGTCCTCAGGAGTCAGGGAGGAAGCTGCTGGGAGCCCCCTGTGTGAGAGAGAAGAGGGCGTTCCCACGAAGAGGAGGCGGAGAGCCAAACTCTGTGTCTCTGCTGAGAACCGAGAGAGTGACCCTGGCTCAGTGAAGACCGTGGAGACTGACCCCAAAAGAGGAGTGGGGTCTCCTGCCGGGAGGAAGAAGGCCTCGGCCTCCGCCCCACGCGGCAGGAAGGGCGACGCGGCATCCCAGTTCCTGGTCTTCTGTCAGAAGCACAGGGATGAGGTCAGTACTGTGCTGGCTGCTCGAGGACCTCCCTGCAGCCCGGACCCTGTTTCTCAGCGTTTCCAGGGGTCTGTGGTGAGCCGAGTCCATGTTTTAGATGTAGTGAGTGAGTTTTGTTAGGGTGCAGAGGTCCTGACTTGGGGTTCCTACCGCGTGTTCTCCCAGTGTGGGGGAGAAGACGCCAGGAGCAGTGTGGCCCACGGGACTGCCCTCCGAGAAGCACAGCCGTGGCCCACCTGTAGCTCTGGGTCAGTGTCTGCAGCAGACGGTTCTGAGTGGAGGCCCCAGCGCCACTCGCCCATTAGTTCCGAGTTACGTGGAGGATTTATCTCCGCGATATTTCAAAGGATGGTAGTAGGTCAGTGATGAAAGTATTCACATAATTTTCTTCATCACCTTCATAAAGTGCATGATCCGGAGGTGTGGTGTGTAATGAAGGCTGGTTTCAGTGTAGAGAAGTAAGGGAATCTTAGTAACTGTTGCTTAGAGCTATGGGTTATATCTAGGGCTTATAGGCCATTTTGTTATAGAGTCCATTTTAATTTTAATCTTCAGAATTTTCTGTTCAGTCTAAATCCATATAGTGATTAAAAGTACTACTATTAATTTTATAAAAATTTTCCATGAGTGCTTAAACAGCCGCTGTTTTTGTGGCAGGTAGCATTGCATAGTGTGGGAGCCGTGAGTGGTGAGGGGTCTTTAAGAAATCCATGAGACGTGATGTTTTGTTTGTCCCTTAACGGAGCTGGGGGATTCTGGGGAAAGCTTTTTGAGTGGTGCCTTCAAGAGGAACTGGCAGGGCTCTTCTTAGGAATGCAAGGATGGTTAAATGTTAGAAAAGCTATATTGTGAATCGAAGTGTAGCAGATTCATGATTATCTCAATTGATAGAGAAAGGGCATTTGGGTAAAATTCATTCCTTTTTCTATAGAAAGTTACTGAGCCGGGAGTAGAAGGAAACATCTTTCATTCTTGAAAGATACCTATTAAAGGCCGGCGCCGCAGCTCACTAGGCTAATCCTCCACCTGCGGTGCCGGCACACCAGGTTCTAGTCCCGGTCAGGGCGCTGGATTCTGTCCCGGTTGCCCCTCTTCCAGGCCAGCTCTCTGCTGTGGCCCCCGAAGGCAGTGGAGGATGGCCCAGGTGCTTGGGCCCTGCACCCCATGGGAGACCAGGAGAAGTACCTGGCTCCTGCCATCGGATCAGCGCGGTGCGCCGGCCGCAGCGCACTGGCATTGGAGGGTGAACCAACGGCAAAGGAAGACCTTTCTCTCTGTCTCTCTCTCTCACTGTCCACCCTGCCTGTCAAAAAAAAAAAAAAAAAAAAAAAAAGATACCTATTTAAAAAAACTGAGCAACTGAGCAAGGATCTTACTTACTAATGAACTTTTATAAACTTAAAAGGCTTTTTTACCTTTTTAATGAGAAGCTTACTTGTTTGAGACAGAGCTCCCCAAATGCCCTCAGTGACCCCAGGCCCGTCTGGGTGCTGAAGCTGGGAGCCAGAATGCAATTCAGATGCCCCTCAGATCTCTCACATGGGTGGCAGGAACCCCGTTACTCGAGCCTTCACCGCTGTCTGCCAGCTTCGCGTGAGCTGGAAGCCAGTCTGGGGCAGAGCCCGATACGGAACACAGGTGTCTTAACTCCTAGACCAGATGCCCGCCTCTGCTGCTGAAACTTTGAAGGCACTCTTTTGTCTGCTTATAAATATTGTGCTGCAAATACTAACCAATACTATAACGAAGGGAAAGAAAAGGACATACTTGTAAAGGAAGAGACACAGCTGTCGTTGTTTGCAGAGATCTGTGTAGAAAATGCAGGAGAATATACAGAAAAAACTCAGAATTCAAGGGTTCACCGAGGTTGGTGGATGAGTGATCAGCATTCAAGTGCAGCAACAAAGAGGAACTGTGACAATAGAGTCCACTGGGGCCAGGGTTGTGGTGTATCTGGTAAAGCCATGCTGGCATCCTGGGTGGTTGGCAGTGCATGTCCTGGTGCTCCACTTCCGATCCAGCTCCTTGTTAATGGACTGGGAAAGTAGAAGATGGCCCAAGTGTTTGGGCCCTTGTACCCACGTGGGAGACCCAAAAAGAAGCTCCTGGCTCCTGACTTCAGCCTGGCTCAGCCTGTGCCGCTGGGGCCATTTGGGGGTGAACAGCAGATGGAAGATTCTGCCCCCCCCCCCCCCATCCACCTTGCAAAGAAATAAAATAAATCTGAAAAACGGCAATTTATATGTTTAGAAAAAGTTGTGTTATTTAAGACTGTGACACGCTGAGGACACGCAGGACGGTGGCCGTGCCCAGAGCAGGGACCAGGAGCAGACTGTGGAGGGCGTGCAATGGATGGGAAGAGGCTGTAGCCCATCTGGATGGGAAGGAGACCGCCTGTGGTGCTGGGGCCACAGGTGACTCCGGGGCTCGGCTGGCTGGGATAGGAGCCTCATCGCCTTGGAAGAGGGGAGGGTTTATTTTTTCTTTTCCTCTTCTTCATCTTTTTTGAGATTTTATTTATTTGAAAGGGAGAGCTACAGAGATGTGGGTGGGTGGATGGGGGGTGGGGAGTTCTTCCATCTGTTGGCTCACTTTCTAAATGGCCCCAACAGCTGCGGCAGGGACTGGGCCAGGATAAAGCCAGGAGCCTGGAACTCCATCTGGGTCTCCCACATGGGTGTCAGGAGCCCAAGCACCTGGGCCATCCTCTGCTGCTTTCCCAGGTGCATTAGTAGGGAGCTGGATTGGAATTGGAGCAGCTGGGACCTGAAGCGTGGTATGCTGGCATTGCAGGCAGCGATCAATCCCTGTGCCACAGTGCCGGCCCTTGGGGGACATTTCTTAAATAAGCCAGTCTGATCACAGAATATAAAGGAAATATGCTAAGGTGGAAATTTTGTGCCAAAGACACCATGAGCAAAATGAAAGGACAAGCCATATGTATAGAACCCAAACAATCCTGAAGGGAAAAACGAAGGGATGGGTGCCAGCATTGTAGTGCACTGGGTTAGCCTGTGACACTGGTGACACTGGTGTCCCATACTGGAGCACCAGTTTGAGCCCTGGATGCTCCGCCTCCAGTCCAGCTCCCTGGTAATGTTCCTGGGGAGGCGGCCGGCGATGGCCCAAGTGCTGGGGCTCCTGCCACCCGCATGGGAGACCTGGGTGGATTTCCAGGCTCCTGGCTTCGGCCTGGCCCTGCATTGCTCTTGTGGGCATTTGGGAGGTGAATCAGTGGTTGGAGGATCTATCTTTTTTCTTCTTCTTCTTTTTTTAAAAAGATTTATTTATTTGAAAGGTAGAGTGACAGAGGTAGGGAGAGACAGAGGTTTTCCATCTGCTGGTTCACTCTCCAAATGGTTGCAACAGCTGAGGCTGGGCCAGGCCAAAGCCAAGAGCTTCATCTGGGTCTCCCCTGTGGGTGCAGGGCCCAAGCACTCAGGCCGTCCTCCACTGCTTTCCCAGGTCATAGCAGAGAGCTGATTGAGAGTGGAGCAGCTGGGACTTGAACAAGGGCCAATATGGTATGCTGACATCTCAGGTAGTGGCTTAACCTGCTATGCCTCACTCTGCCTTTTGAAAAAATTAATAAATATTTTAAAATTTGGGGAGAGGGGTGAGTATGAGAATATGAACTCACAGAGGAACCTGGATGGCCCATTAGTACAGGAAGAGGTGCTGTTCAGCTTCACTGCAAGTGGAAACCAGAGAGCGGGTACTCCGAGTCACCAGGTGAGCCAGCACTAACCGCGGAACAGCTGGGCACGTGAGTCCTCCCACAGTGCCGGTGGAGGCGTGTTCACTGGACCTGCTTGGGAGAGACCCGAGATGTGCTTCTTTTCCGTCTTAGAGTTTTATTCCTGGGCATCTACTCGAGAGCGTTTGTGCTTCTGCATCTAAGGAGATGCTGCACTGCTCAGACCAAGAAGTTAAATAAATGACAGACCAGCGTGCTCCTGCGGTGTACCCCTGAGGTCTCTGGGTGTGAAGAGAGCAGCTGCTGAAGGATATGCAAGTCCTGTCACTTGTATAAAGTTTGGGAAGTGCCCTGTTAAGTTTTACCTGTGTCCGTCCAGAAAGAGTAAGTGGATAGCTGTGAGGGTGTAAGGCTCTGCGCAGGAGCCAAGAGGTGTTTTCAGGGAAGTGTTAACACCTGGTGGAGGTATAGAACAGTCAGCGTGTGGACAGTCACTGTACTGGACGGGCTGTGTGGAGCCTGTGGAGGTCAGCTCTGAATGGGCACTGACAGCATTTGCAGCCAGGCCTCGGCTTGGCTGGTGAGGAGCTGTGTGCTCTTGAGCTCTGGAAGCAGACCAAGGCTCTGTGCCATCGACTGGTGTGTTCCCAAGCTGTTCCTGCATGGTTCGTCTGAAACTGTGAAAGGAAAGTGGGCAGCTTAGAATTCAAACCACCTTTTTTCCTTTTTGGGACCCAGGTTGATCTCAGAGGGCTCCTAGATTCTAAGAAATGTGCCATAAACCCAAGCCCTTCAGTGCGTTTGTCAGGTATCCACTGAAACCTATAAAGCCAATACTATTAGCTCTAAAGGGAGAGATGCTAATACAGTAATAGTTGGGGACTTCAGTCTCACTTCATCAGTGGACAGGTCATCCAGACTGAAAGTGAACAGACACCATGCAGTTGACTCTGCTGTACAAGAAGAGAATGCTACAGATAGAGAATTTCACCCAGCAGCTACAGAATACACACTCTTATCAGCACATGGAACATTCTCCAGGATCAACTATATAAGAAGCCTCACATCAAGTCTCTTAAGAATTTTTTAAATAAAGTTCCTAATTTATTTGAAAGGCAAAGTGATAAGGAAGAGGGAGGGAGAGAGCTCTTCCATATGCTAGTTATTCTCCCAAAAGCCGTAACAATGGGGTTGGTCCAGGCAGAAGCCAGGAGCCTGGAACTCCATCTAGGTCTTCCATGTGGGTGATGGGGGTTACGGTGGGGGGGGGGGGAGAGAAAGGGAGAGAGGTCTTCCATCCAATGGTTCACTCCCCAAATGGCTGTAATGGTCAGGACTGGGCCAGACTGAAGCCAGGAGCTTCTCCCAGGTCTTCCATGTGGGTTCAGGGGCCCAATATTTGTTCTGAACGCACGTTCAGGGGCATGTTCTGCTGCTTTTCCCAAGCCATTACCAGGGAGCTGGTTTGGAAGCGGCGCAGCTGGGACTGGAATCGGTGCCCATCTGTGATGCTGGCATTGCAGGTGGTGGTTCTGCCCGTTACGCCGCGACGATGGTCCCCCAACTGATTTTTTATGAAGGCACCAGTAACATACGCTGGCGAGAAGATGCTTTCTTCAATAAACAGTGCCAGGAATACTGGATGTGGATATGTAGAAAAGTGAATCTGACCCCTTCACTGTGCGCAGAAGTCAACTCAGAGAGGATGAACAGGGACCAGCTTTGTGGTGCAGTGCGCTAAGCTGCCGCCTGCAGTGCCAGCATCCCATACAGGTGCTGGTTCGCGTCCCGGCTGCTCCACTTCCAGTCCGCGTCCCTGCCAATGCACCTGGAACAGCAGCAGAGGATGGCCCAGGCCCGTCGCCCACGTGGGAGACCTTGGTGGGGGTCTGGCTGGCTGTTGTGGACATTTGGGGAGTGAGCCTGTGCATGGGACTCTCTGTCTCTCTTGCTGCAACCCTGCCTTTCAAATAAAAAATAAATTAAAAAATTGGATCAAAACCCCAAATTTAAGACCTGAAACTGTGAGACTATCATAAGAAAACAAAGAGGAAGCACTCCAATCACCTGGTTTTTGGATAAGACCCCAAAAACACAGGCAGCAATAGCAAAATATACAGCTGGTGTTATATCAAAGAAACTTCCATACAGAAAAAGAAACAGTGTGTGAAGAGACAACAGAATGGGAGACAATATTCATACATTGTTCAGCTGGCAAAGGGATAAATATCCAGGATCTATATATAGAACTCTGCTCGATAGCAAAAACCAAGGAATCCAGGTAAAAATAGACAAGTAATCTAAATTGACATTATTTCATTTAAAAAATATTTTTACTGATTTGAGAGGCACAGTTACAGAGAGATCTTCCATCCACTGCTTCATTCCCCAAGTGGCCACCATGGCTGGAGCTGGGCCACCTTCCACTGCCTTCCCAGGCACGTTAACAGGGAGCTGGATCGGAAGTGGAGCAGCTGGGGCTTGTGCTCATATGGGATGCCAGTGTTGCAGGCAACGGCTTAACCCCCGTGTCACAACGCTGGCCCCTAAATTGACATTTCTTAAAAGAAGACACACGGATGGGCAACAGTTAGTAATCATCAGGGAAATGCATACTGGGCCAGAATGAAGGCAGGAGCTTCAGCCAGGGCTCCCATGTGGGTGCAGGGGCCCATGGACTTGGACCATCTTCCACTGCTACCCCAGGCCATAGTGGAGAGCAGCTGTATCAGAAGAGGAGCAGCCGGGACTAGAACTGGTGTCAATATGGGAAGCCATCGCCTCAGGCCAGGGCTTCAACCTGCCGTGCCACAGCGCCAGCTGCTGGGGACCATGTGGAAATTCAGATTCCTGGTTCTAGGGCTCCAGTTGAGCTTTCTAGCATGTCTGTGGTGCCGATGACAGCAGCGCACCAGTGGCCAGGGAAGCTCTGTGTCTTGGCTGTGCAGCGTGCCTTGGGTGTTGGCCTGAGCTGTAGCGAAAGTCAAGACGTATTCCTTGGGACCTTTGGCACCCGTCCAGAGGTAGGGAGGTGGGGGGTGGCGCTGTGGCAGTGAGCAAACTTAAGCTAAGACTACAACTTCATGCTCAGGTAGCATTTCTTTTTTATTTTTCTAATTAAGAAAAAGTAAAGATTCATGCATTTGCGGGGCTGGCGCCATGGTATAGTGGTAAAGCCGCCACCTGCAGTGCTGGCATCCCATGTGGGTACCAGTTTGTGTCCTGGCTGCCTCATTTCTCATCCAGCTCTCTGCTGTGGCCTGGGAAAGCAGTAGAAGATGGCCCAAGTCCTTGGGCCCCTGCACCCGTGTGGGAGATGGGGAGAAGGCTCCTGGCTCCTGGCTTCGGATCGGTGCAGCTCCTGCTGTTGGGATCATCTGGGGAGTGAGCCGGCAGATGGAAGAGCTCTCTGCAACTCTGCCTTTCAAATAAATGAATAGAAAAGATTTATTCACCTGAAGGGCGAGGGATAGAGAGAATCTTCTATCTGCTGATTCACTCCCCAAATGCCCACAACAACCAGAGCTGGGCAAGGCCAAAGCCAGAAGCCTGGAACGCATAGCCGGTCCCCCATTCTTTTTAAGATTTTATTTATGTAGCTGAGAGGTAGAGTTACAGACACAGAGAAGGAGAGATAGAGAGAAAGGTCTTTATCCGCTGGTTCACTCCCTAAGTGGGCAGAACTGCCGGAGCTGGGCCATCTGAAGCCAGGAGCTTCTTCTGGGTCTCCCACGCGGGTGCAGGGACCCAAGCACTTGGGCCACCTTCTACTGCTTTCCCAGGCCACAATAGAGAGCTGGATTGGAAGTGGAGCAGCCAGGACTTGAACTGGCGCCCATATGGGATGCCGGCACTGCAGGCGGAGGATTAACCTGCCCCACAGCAAGGGCCCAGGTAGCATTTCTGCAGAATTTGTCCTACCCGAGTATTCAAGGATGCCTAGGAAGCTGTGACTTGTAGAGAAATGATTTAGTGATTTCGGAAAGTATGTTTTGTTCTTATTGTTTATCATTTCCTGTGTTACATAAATGTAATAGAATCATTTTCACTGCCACTGTGTTCGTTTACGGCTTTTCGGTGAATCACAGTAAGCCGTTTCGGACAAACAAAAACACCGTGCACTCGGTTCTAACGGGCCACGCGTTTGCTTTTGTGCAAATCAAAACCCGGATGAGCTTCCTGTGCTCGGGCGTCTGAGCGCAGCCCCCGGTGTGTCCCCAGGTTGTCGCTGAGCACCCTGACGCCTCAGGAGAGGAGATCGAAGAGCTGCTGGGGTCCCAGTGGGACATGCTCAACGAGAAGCAGAAGGCGCGCTACAACACCAAGTTCGCCCTTGTCACTTCTGCACCGTGTGAAGACGACTCGGGTGAGTCTGCAGCTGTGTGTGCAGTGGCTGTGCGGGCCGTGGGACGGGGTACGCGCGCTGTGGGGGCCGTGGGACGGGGTTCACGCGCTGTGGGGTGGGGTACACGCGCTGTGGGGGCCGTGGGACGGGGTTCATGCGCTGTGGGGGCCGTGGGACGGGGTACGTGCGCTGTGGGGGTCGTGGGACGGGGTTCACGCGCTGTGCGGGCCGTGGGACGGGGTTCACGCACTGTGGGGGCCGTGGGACGGGGTACACGCGCTGTGCGGGCCGTGGGACGGGGTACACGCGCTGTGTGGGGCCGTGGGACGGGGTTCACGCGCTGTGGGGGCCGTGGGACGGGGTTCACGCGCTGTGGGGGCTGTGGGACGGGGTTCACGCGCTGTGCGGGTTGTGGGACAGGGTTCACGCGCTGTGGGGGCTGTGGGACGGGGTTCACGCGCTGTGCGGGCTGTGGGACGAGGTTCACGTGCTGTGGGGGCTGTGGGACGGGGTACACGCGCTGTGCAGGCCGTGGGACGGGGTACACGCGCTGTGCGGGCCGTGGGACGGGGTTCACGCGCTGTGGGGGCCGTGGGACGGGGTACACGCGCTGTGCGGGTTGTGGGACAGGGTTCACGCGCTGTGGGGGCCGTGGGACGGGGTACACGCGCTGTGCGGGCCGTGGGACGGGGTTCACGCGCTGTGCGGGTTGTGGGACGGGGTTCACGCGCTGTGCAGGCTGTGGGACGGGGTTCACGCGCTGTGCGGGCCGTGGGACGGGGTTCACGCGCTGTGCGGGTTGTGGGACAGGGTTCACGCGCTGTGGGGGCCGTGGGACGGGGTACACGTGTGCCGGTGCCCCTGGGTCAGCTTCTAGAATGCGTGTGGTCATGGTGGACAGCCTGTGCTGCCTGCACTTCTCCCTGCGTGAGGGCTGTCTTCTGCCCCTACGGGGTGTGTGCGTGAGGAAGAAGACAGGAGTGAGGCAGTCTGGGGTCTGAGTGGGGTGGCGTGGAGTCTGTGCCCCAGTGGGGTCGCAGGAGCAGCCCTCCTGGCCTCGTGGAGGGCCTGCCTCCTCTGCAGGTGGCCGTATCTGCTTGAGAACTTGGAGGGTGAGAGGGTGACTGGACTAACCTTGACTTTGGGTATTCTTTGCTTCTCCCTAGATGTTTACTTTAAAAAGAAACCAAAAAGTATGACTTTGCTTTGGGCTGTAGTAAGATGAGGGAGACTTCATGCTGTGAAATTGGAGAAAAGGTGTGACTGGTCGGATTTGTGATCTGCATGCTTGGGATGTGAGCTTTTCGTGGAGAATTTTTTTTTTAATATTATTTTCATTGTATTGGAAAGGCAGAGACAGAGAGAGATCTGTCCTCTGGCTTACTCTGCAAATGCCCACAGAGGGCTGGGCCAACCAAAGCCAGGTACCTAGAACTCAGTCTGGGTCTCCCACGTGAGTGGCAGGGACACGAGTACCAGTGTGCTTATTAGCAGGAAGCTGGGTGTGAGGCAGAACGGAACTGGAACCAGACACTCTGACATGGGATACAGGCATCCCAAGCAGTGTCTGACCACTGTGCCCAGTGCCCACCCCAGAACGCTGATATTCTTGATGTACCAGTGAGCGATGGATTGGGTACCGATTCAGATGCATTGAGTTTAGAGAGGCCAGACACACAGTCTTGAAGACGCACCTAAGTGGAGGCCAAGCCCAGAAGCAGCTGGGCCTCCCACGCGAGACAGCTCGCGCCCTGGCACGGCACCTTGTGGGGCAGGCTGTCAGCACACGTGCACCCAGCCACCTTCCTGCTATCTTCACAGGTGTTCTTGTTCTTGACTTAGGGCTTTCTCGTTTTCCATGTCAGCTCTCTAATGGTTATTGATCTTGAATTTTCTTTGTATTCATTGCAAATACTATAGTTTAGAATGGCAAGGATATTTAGGATTTGTATTTTTGTCTCTTTTTTATATATGTTTTCTTTTAAAGTCGAAAATTCGTCTCTTCATCATATACTTAATGTAGAGATGATGGCTTATTTAAGATGAGCTGGGTTTCCTGAAGCTGGAAGAGTAAGTGTGAGCCCGGTTGTGTGTCTCACATTTTGCTATCTGGCTGTTCCTGAATACTTGATAGGAGGACTCGTGGGCAAGTTTTTCTCCCGGTGTGTGTCAGGTGTGTGCCGGCTCCTGGGTGCTCTCCTGGTGTGTGTCAGGTGTCTGTTGGTTCCTGGGTGCTCTCCCGGTGTGTGCTGGCTCCTGGTTACTCTCCCGGTGTGTGTCAGGTGTGTGCCGGCTCCTGGGTGCTCTCCCGGTGTGTGTCAGGTGTCTGTTGGTTCCTGGGTGCTCTCCCGGTGTGTGTCAGGTGTGTGCCGGCTCCTGGGTGCTCTCCCAGTGTGTGTCAGGTGTGTGCCGGCTCCTGCGTACTCTCCCGGTGTGTGTCAGGTGTGTGCCGGCTCCTGGGTACTCTCCCGGTGTGTGCTGGCTCCTGGTTACTCTCCCGGTGTGTGTCAGGTGTGTGCCGGCTCCTGGGTGCTCTCCTGGTGTGTGTCAGGTGTGTGCCGGCTCCTGGGTACTCTCCCGGTGTGTGTCAGGTGTGTGCCGGCTCCTGGGTGCTCTCCCGGTGTGTGTCAGGTGTGTGCTGGCTCCTGCGTACTCTCCCGGTGTGTGTCAGGTGTGTGCCGGCTCCTGGGTGCTCTCCTGGTGTGTGTCAGGTGTCTGTTGGTTCCTGGGTGCTCTCCCGGTGTGTGCTGGCTCCTGGTTACTCTCCTGGTGTGTGTCAGGTGTGTGCCGGCTCCTGGGTACTCTCCCGGTGTGTGTCAGGTGTGTGCTGGCTCCTGGGTACTCTCCCGGTGTGTGTCAGGTGTGTGCTGGCTCCTGGGTGCTCTCCCGGTGTGTGTCAGGTGTGTGCCGGCTCCTGCGTACTCTCCCGGTGTGTGTCAGGTGTGTGCCGGCTCCTGGGTGCTCTCCCGGTGTGTGTCAGGTGTGTGCCGGCTCCTGGGTACTCTCCCGGTGTGTGTCAGGTGTGTGCCGGCTCCTGGGTGCTCTCCCGGTGTGTGTCAGGTGTGTGCCGGCTCCTGCGTACTCTCCCGGTGTGTGTCAGGTGTGTGCCGGCTCCTGGGTGCTCTCCTGGTGTGTGTCAGGTGTCTGTTGGTTCCTGGGTGCTCTCCCGGTGTGTGCTGGCTCCTGGTTACTCTCCTGGTGTGTGTCAGGTGTGTGCCGGCTCCTGGGTACTCTCCCGGTGTGTGTCAGGTGTGTGCTGGCTCCTGGGTACTCTCCCGGTGTGTGTCAGGTGTGTGCCGGCTCCTGGGTGCTCTCCCGGTGTGTCAGGTGTGTGCCGGCTCCTGCGTACTCTCCCGGTGTGTGTCAGGTGTGTGCCGGCTCCTGGGTGCTCTCCCGGTGTGTGTCAGGTGTGTGCCGGCTCCTGGGTACTCTCCCGGTGTGTGTCAGGTGTGTGCCGGCTCCTGGGTGCTCTCCCGGTGTGTGTCAGGTGTGTGCCGGCTCCTGCGTACTCTCCCGGTGTGTGTCAGGTGTGTGCCGGCTCCTGGGTGCTCTCCTGGTGTGTGTCAGGTGTCTGTTGGTTCCTGGGTGCTCTCCCGGTGTGTGCTGGCTCCTGGTTACTCTCCTGGTGTGTGTCAGGTGTGTGCCGGCTCCTGGGTACTCTCCCGGTGTGTGTCAGGTGTGTGCTGGCTCCTGGGTACTCTCCCGGTGTGTGTCAGGTGTGTGCTGGCTCCTGGGTGCTCTCCCGGTGTGTGTCAGGTGTGTGCCGGCTCCTGCGTACTCTCCCGGTGTGTGTCAGGTGTGTGCCGGCTCCTGGGTGCTCTCCCGGTGTGTGTCAGGTGTGTGCTGGCTCCTGGGTGCTCTCCCGGTGTGTGTCAGGTGTGTGCCGGCTCCTGCGTACTCTCCCGGTGTGTGTCAGGTGTGTGCTGGCTCCTGGGTACTCTCCCGGTGTGTGTCAGGTGTGTGCTGGCTCATGGGTACTCTCCCGGTGTGTGTCAGGTGTGTGCCGGCTCCTGGGTGCTCTCCTGGTGTGTGTCAGGTGTGTGCCGGCTTCTGCGTACTCTCCCGGTGTGTGCTGGCTCCTGGTTACTCTCCCGGTGTGTGTCAGGTGTGTGCCGGCTCCTGGGTGCTCTCCCGGTGTGTGTCAGGTGTGTGCCGGCTCCTGGGTGCTCTCCCGGTGTGTGTCAGGTGTGTGCCGGCTCCTGGGTGCTCTCCCGGTGTGTGTCAGGTGTGTGCCGGCTCCTGGGTACTCTCCCGGTGTGTGCCGGCTCCTGGTTACTCTCCCGGTGTGTGTCAGGTGTGTGCCGGCTCCTGGGTGCTCTCCTGGTGTGTGTCAGGTGTGTGCCGGCTCCTGGGTACTCTCCCGGTGTGTGTCAGGTGTGTGCCGGCTCCTGGGTGCTCTCCCGGTGTGTGTCAGGTGTGTGCCGGCTCCTGCGTACTCTCCCGGTGTGTGTCAGGTATGTGCCGGCTCCTGGGTGCTCTCCCGGTGTGTGTCAGGTGTGTGCCGGCTCCTGGGTACTCTCCCGGTGTGTGTCAGGTGTGTGCCGGCTCCTGGGTGCTCTCCCGGTGTGTGTCAGGTGTGTGCCGGCTCCTGGGTACTCTCCCGGTGTGTGTCAGGTGTGTGCCGGCTCCTGGGTGCTCTCCCGGTGTGTGTCAGGTGTGTGCTGGCTCCTGGGTACTCTCCCGGTGTGTGTGCTGGTTCCTGGGTGCTCTCCCGGTGTGTGTCAGGTGTGTGCCGGCTCCTGGGTACTCTCCCGGTGTGTGTCAGGTGTGTGCCGGCTCCTGGGTACTCTTGAGCTCTGACTTGGAGGTGACCTGATGCTGATAACAAAGATGTGTCATATCCCCTTGTCTCAGCACTGGAAATTCAGACAGGTTGCTAGAAATGACTGCTGCCTCACTCTGTAGAAGAAGGCGTCCCTAGGATGCACTTGTGTAGAAGACACTGTGCGGAGTCCGGGCACCAGAGGGGCATGCTGCTGGCAGGCACTGCTGGCATGGAGGAGACTGGTGGAGGAGAGCCTGGCAGATGAGGTTCTGGGGCTACATTTATGGCCAGCCATGGGTGTGGCTGGGGCAGAGCTTGGTGAGGGCCTCAGTGGGAACCCGAGGCCTGGAGCTGAGGGGGCGCCCTGTGCCTGTGCCTGCACCTCCTCCCTCAGGCCTTACTGGGCACTGTGGAGCTGCGCACTCCTCCGTCCCAGCAGGCAACAGGTTTGGTGACGACAGCTGTCCCTCAAGTGTGTGATGAATAGTCTGTCAGTAAACTGGGCCTCTGTGGAACAACTGTGCAAATGAAAATGCTGGATTTGTATGTGAAGTGAGCACTGACGTGTTCAAATGCACTCTCTCTGGAGGCTGTACTCTTACTTACATCGTGTCCCTGCAGGCCAGTACTGTTGGCACCTTTGGTCGTGGGTGACTGATGTTGCCGGGAACGTCTGGTGCCTGGCACAGGCACTGAGCGGTAGAAAACCCTCTATCTGAAGACACGAATGCAGTGTGATTGTGAGGTGGTTCTTTAAGGAAGTGTGTAACAAAGGAATATGCTGTGTATTTTTAAAAATTCAATTTAGGTTCCACTAGGCTGTTAATGCTAAAAAGAAAGATTATTTAAAATACAGGGTTATAGGGCCGGCGCCGCGGCTCACTAGGCTAATCCTCCGCCTAGCGGCACCGGCACACCGGGTTCTAGTCCCGGTCGGGGCGCCGGATTCTGTCCCGGTTGCCCCTCTTCCAGGCCAGCTCTCTGCTGTGGCCAGGGAGTGCAGTGGAGGATGGCCCAGGTGCTTGGGCCCTGCACCCCATGGGAGACCAGGAAAAGCACCTGGCTCCTGGCTCCTGCCATCGGATCAGCGCGGTGTGCCGGCCGCAGCGCGCCGGCCGCGGCGGCCATTGGAGGGTGAACCAACGGCAAAGGAAGACCTTTCTCTCTGTCTCTCTCTCTCTCACTGTCCACTCTGCCTGTCAAAAAAAAAAAATAAATAAAAATAAAAAAAAAATAAAAAAATAAAATACAGGGTTATATTCAAATATAAGGCTACAGGACATTAAAATGGTAGCAAACATGGATATCGTAATCCCTAGGTTAGGATTAATACGTTCAGTCCCCAGTTTCTCACTGTGAAGAGATTTGACCTAGGTCATCTGTTCGCTGGACGTCCTGGGCAGCTTGTGGTGTGTGTTTCATGGACATTTCCCCATCCCCCATTCCTAGGTACCTTAAATGGGAAAAAACGAAACCACACAAAGAGGACCCCGGACCCTCCAGAAGAAGCTGACGTGGAGGATGCACCCAGGAAGAGACTCAGGACGGACAAGCCGGGTCTGCGGAAGGTAATCCCGCTTTGCGCTTGTGTGTCTGTGAGGTGCAGGCAGGATTTCGGCAGCAGCGCTCAGCAGGAAGGCTGCCTTTCTCACAGGCCCTGCTGAGAGGTTGCTGACAAGCGTAAGTGCTCACGCAGCAGCGGTCACGCAGAACTGCTGTGCCTGATGGGTCAAGAAAACAAACATCCACACACCTGGAGTTTTGGACAAACTGTCTATTAAAAATGACTTTTTCGAGCTGGCGCCGTGGCTCACTAGGCTAATCCTCCGCCGTGTGACGCCAGCACACCGGGTTCTAGTCCCAGTTGGGGCACTGGATTCTGTCCTGGTTGCCCCTCTTCCAGGCCAGCTCTCTGCTGTGGCCAGGGAGTGCAGTGGAGGATGGCCCAAGTGCTTGGGCCCTGCACCCCATGGGAGACCAGGAGAAGTACCTGGCTCCTGCCATCGGATCAGCGCGGTGCGCCGGCCGCAGCGCACTGGCCGCGGTGGCCATTGGAGGGTGAACCAACAGCAAAAGGAAGACCTTTCTCTCTGTCTGTCTCTCTCACTGTCCACTCTGCCTGTCAAAAAAAAAAAAAAAAAAAAAAAGACTTTTTCTTTTTCTTTTTTTTTTTTTTTTTTTTTTTTTTTTTTTACAGGCAGAGTGGACAGTGAGAGAGAGAGACAGAGAGAAAGGTCTTCCTTTGCCGTTGGTTCACCCTCCAATGGCCGCCGCTGCAGCCGGCGCACCGCGCTGATCCTGGCAGGAGCCAGGAGCCAGGTGCTTTTCCTGGTCTCCCATGGGGTGCAGGGCCCAAGCACCTGGGCCATCCTCCACTGCACTCCCTGGCCATAGCAGAGAGCTGGCCTGGAAGAGGGGCAACCGGGACAGAATCCGGCGCCCCGACCGGGACTAGAACCCGGTGTGCCGGCGCCGCAAAAAAAAAAGACTTTTTCTATGGAGCTTATTAATCAATGTGTGAATAATGAATTGACATGAAACTAAAAATCTGTTAGAGGTCCATGTATGTTATATTTCAATAAAAAAGTTATGAACTGGGGGCAAGAGCTGTGCTGTAGAGGATTAAGCCTCCACCTGCAGTGCCTGCATCCTGTATGGACAGTGGTCCGAGTCCCGGCTGCTCCACTTCCATTCCAGCTCTCTGCTCATGGCCTGGGAAAGCAGTGGAAGGTGGCCCAAGTGCTTGGTCCCTGCACCCACGTGGGAGAACCTGAAAGCTCCTGGCTTTGTCCTGGTTCAGCCCCAGCCCCGGCTATTACAGCCATTTGGGGAATGGACCAGCAGATGAAAGACCTCTCTCTCTCTTTCCCTCTCTCCCTCTCTCCCTCTCTCCCTCCTCCCTCCTCCCTCCTCCTCCCCCTCCTCCTCTCCCTTTACTGCCTTTCAAATAAAAAAAAATTACCAGTTTGCTGGTATTTCTTGTTACTCTTTACGCAGTGGGAGTGTAGGCCTGCGTGGAGCAACGGGCAAGGAGCAGCAGAGACACACAAGCCCCACTCTCCACAGTGGCTCCCTAGGGCCTTGGATGCCAGCCTCTGTCAAGGGACAGGGTTTGGCTGGTGTCAGGAGGGAGTGGACTGACTAAGGTCCATAAATCCAGAGAAAGAGTGGACAGTTGTGTCCAGCACACCGTGCCCGTGCATGTGAGGACTTGAGCCCTTCCTGGCAGCACTCACTCCAGTGGTCTTGAGAACGGAGGGGTGAAGCAGGCTGTGTACTTTGTTTGAATTTATATGTGTGCAGTAATTGTTTTGTAAAGTAGTTGTGTACTTACGACTGAGTAAAGCTGATACTAACTTTTACTTACCTAAATCAAGTGTTGGTCCTAGCTTATCTTGGAGAATGGGAAATAAATCATGTATTACTGAAGTGCAGGCTTGTGGGCACTGTGTCATCTATCTGGTCACTTTAGAAGTCACTCCCAGGTTAGGGGAGCAGGCAGGCCTTGCCCCATTTTTCCTGTCAACACTCTTCTGGGCACCTGCTGTCTGGTGGAGTTGTTTACACTGCGGCTCGGTGGAGTTCACCTTGAGCTGTGAGTTTGTGGTTACCAGGAAGCACACACGTACTATTTCCTCTGGCCACCACTTATTAAAGCAGCTCTTTACTGGCAGTCATACTGAAATTAGTTGCTTTGAAATATTTGTGTAAATGATTTGTGTGACCCTGGACATCCAAAATACCAAAATTTACATGAAGTAGCTAAGTAGAAATGTTTTATTAGCTAATAGCTCTGGAAGTACCATCTATAAAAAGCACTGGTGTTTCCTCTAGCCTGATTCTTATCAGCCAGGCCACACTGCATGTGACTCCTGTGTGTTCTGAGTATGGCCGAGGTGTGGCTGACTTTCCAAGGGCCATGTGCCCATTATCTGTTTTTCTTTTTCCCGATTTAAAACAGTGATGGGGAAGGAGAGGGGGAGAGAGAGAAAGATTTCTCATCCACTGATTTACTCCCCAAATAGCCACCACAGTCAGTGCTGGGCCAGGCCAAAGCCAAGAGCCAGGAATCCCAGCCGGGCCTCTCCCAGGAGTGGCAGGGGTTCGTGTGCTTGAGCCCTCGTCTGCTTCCCAGGTGCGTTAGTGTGAAACTGCACTGGAAGCGGAGTAGCCAGCACTCTGGTATGGGACGCTGTCGTTGTGTGTGATGTCTTAACCCACTGTGCTACAGTGCCCACTCTGCATCCGTTCTCTTGTCCAGTCTTTGTGAGCACCCCCGACCATGCTGCTCTACCTTCCCTGGTGTCAGGTAGATGGGCGAGGAGGACCTGAGTGAATGGCGGGGGTGACCAGCAGGCAGCACTGCCCCGGTGCGTGGAGACGGGTGTTTCCTGCTTCACTGACCTTCACATCTGATGAGGCAGCCTCTCGGGCAGCAGGCATTCGAGAAGCAATTTATTTACTTCATCCTCAGCTTTGGATTCAGCAGAAAGCTGAGGGATTATCTAGAACACACTTGTATGAGCTGGCAGACACTAGAGTAGAGGCACACAAGTGGACACGGTCTGAGGTGGCGCAGCTGTCAGGTGACCAAGGTTGAAGCTTCTGTCGGGCAAGTCGCAGCACCCTGTGTTCCTTGATATTAGGAGGTTGTTTCTCTCCTTAACAGAGGGACGTGCTCACTGACAAAACCACCAGAACAAGCTCGTACAAGGCCACAGAGACGACCTCCTTGCTCAAGAGCCAGGCAGGTAATGTGGTGGACGGCCGCCCCCAGGGGCTCCCAGGGGCTGATGCAGGGTGAGGGTGGGTGGGTCTGTGAAGCACTCAGGAGCAGTGGACAGCTAAAGTTGAATCTCAGAGGAAAAGGAGGAGGGGTTTCATGCAGTTGAAAAAGGAAATTAATGTGTAAGGTGTTTTAAGAATTTAGTTGAATTTTATTCAAGTGATTCTCCTACTGATTTTTCACTTGGCTTTATTGTTTCATTTTACATGGTGGGCCAGGTTTCCCCTTAAATCCCTTTGTTCCTCAATATGTAGATCCCGTGTGCCTCCTCTGTGGTTCTGAATTAGCTTAAAATAAGTCCATGAAAAATCGCTGCCAGAACAGTGAGAGGGGTGAGGGCTCCATGCACCTCGTCCTGGATTATCTCTGTGAAATACCCGTCTCGTGGTTTGTTGAAGAATCTGCTGCGTCAGCTCTTCCTAGAAAGGGAGTGAAGCCCTGGGAAGGAGAGGTCGCGAAGGCCGCAGAGAGCTGTATTCCTGCCGTGGGAGGTGCTGCGCTGGTCTTAAAGAACCAGCTGTGAGCAACACAACATTTCAGTGTTGACTGAATGTTTGATGATGTAAAGGAATTGTTATGTGCAAGCATGGAAGAGGTATTGTGGTCATATTCAAAACTTTGTTTTAGAAATATGGGTATACTGGCCGGCGCCGCGGCTCACTAGGCTAATCCTCCGCCTAGCGGCGCCGGCACACCGGGTTCTAGTCCCGGTTGGGGTGCCGGATTCTGTCCCGGTTGCCCCTCTTCCAGGCCAGCTCTCTGCTGTGGCCAGGGAGTGCAGTGGAGGATGGCCCAGGTGCTTGGGCCCTGCACCCCATGGGAGACCAGGAAAAGCACCTGGCTCCTGCCATTGGATCAGCGTGGTGCGCCGGCCGCAGCGCACTGGCCGCGGCGGCCATTGGAGGGTGAACCAACGGCAAAGGAAGACCTTTCTCTCTGTCTCTCTCTCTCACTGTCCACTCTGCCTGTCAAAAAAAAAAAAAAAAATATATGGGTATACTTCAAAAAATTTGAGAAAAATTGGGTTACAAGATAAATGTATTTGGGCAAACCATTGGAGTCGATACATAGTGTTTTCATGCTGTGTACCTTCTGAAGGCCCCTCAGGTGGACCAGGCTTCTTGTTGATGAAATTATTGATCTGGGATTTGCTTCAGAATAATCAGTCTGGCAGAACAGTGTGGAACCAAGTGTGCGTGGAGCCACATTGGCCCCAGATGATGGATCTGGGGGCCAAACAGTGAGGACATAGAGATCACTGTACAGTTTGTCTGCTCTGTCTACATTCAGGTTGTTCATGATAAAAAGTGTGAAGCCCTCCTTCAGCAAAGGGGCCTGGAAGGTTCACGTTTTAGCTTCACTTATTTGAGGAGTATTTTTAAATCAGTAAAGAAACTGAGGGTGTAAGACTTCAAACTTTATAACCATTTTTTTTCTTATTTACAGCAACGAAAAATCTGTCGGATGCATGCAAACCCCTGAAGAAGCGAAACCGAGCCTCCGCGGCAGCGTCTTCAGCTCTTGGGTTTAGCAAAAGTTCATCTCCTTCTGCGTCCTTAACTGAGAATGAGGTAAAACAATAATAATGATGATAATCATGGCATTCCCATGGAGGCCATGGAGTAAACCACGTTGTGGTGTGAGTAAAGGTCAGATCTGATGAGCATACCCTTGGTATTCTCCATAGAGGTAGGAGACTTTTAGGTCCCCTGACCTATCTAAAATTCATGAAGTGGAAAAAACCAGTGCGCTATTTTAGTTTATTTGAGCATTTCAAATATACAAACACACAGTGTATGTGTAAATGTACGTATATACTTCAGTCGATGCAGTTTGCTTGTTCTTGACATTTGTCTTAAAAACGTGCTCTGCATAGCCCTCACACTGTCTCCCACACGAGGCCAGCCTGAGCCAGTGAGACGCTGGTCCTGTCGCACTCAGTGCTGGGTGGGATGGAGGGTGGCTCACAGGCCACACCTGATTCCTGCTGCTTCCAGACCAGGCTTGTGGAGGAGGCCAACTATTTTCTCGTCCTCCAGCATCCCATGGCTTTGGATCCATGTTTTTGGCCCTTTAAATTCTGGCATTCTTTGTTGAGGTGAATTAGAACTGCCATTGTACACAACTCGTGTTTTCTGGGCTCGCACAGTTTGTGGTAGCAACGTGAGAGCTGTGAGGCATCACCTGCCATCATTACATGACACGCAGGCGCCATCAGCAAATCAAGTCTTTGCCACTGCCAGAACAAAACAGAAAACTGCCGCAAAATGCAGACAGGACACTTTTTTGTCCAGAGGTAGTTTGGCTTCCTGATTTTAGTGACTGCCTGCATGAAGCTTTTACATCCAAGTTTTAATTTCTTATTATTTAAGTTCCCAGTGATTCTGTTTCATGAGGCGGTGATAACCTTGGGTTTTTTGGAGCAGGGAAGTGAGACAGGACTGGATAGGCCCCTTCCTCCTGCTGGGCCGGAGTGCTGCTCTCTGCCCTGGACTCCAGGAGGGCCGGGGTGGCTTCAGCTGTTTCCTCCTGTGTGAGGAAGGGCGGATGTTCCTGGGCTAGAAGGTCAGGGACTGGGGCAGTCCCGTGAGGCGCCCAGTGTGGCTTGCTGTTGTGCTTCCTAGTGGTGGCGTCAGTCTGGGCCACTCCTGAGTAGGTTTCTGTAGTGACTCAGCTCAGCAGTGGTCAGCAGTGGTCAGCAGTGGTCAGGAGCTGCTCGCACACTGGGCCTGGGCCTGCCTCCAGTTGATACATGTAGGTAACTGAGCATTACCTTTGGACACACTCACGGAGACACAGAACTCCGCAGGGAACTTCTGGGAGCCTACCAGAACGTGAAACGTGGAAAGGCAAAGTTTATACAGGTTCCTTCTCCTTTTTCCTTTCTTCTTTGTTTAAGTTCAGGTTAGTTTCCTAGAAAGGTACTGGAAGGTGGTCTGCGATTCCAAATAATATTAGAAACAAAGAAGTTGTGGTTCTGTAGCCCCTTAGGCTACAGCAGGCAGTTTTACTTAGACTTTTGATGAGTTTCTTGCATGGTGTTTTGGTTCATGTATCTACCTGATACATTGACACTGTTGTCAGATACCAGAGACAGCAAAACTCTGAGGCTACTGAAGTCTTGTCTGTTTCTGACTGTGACTTGTGTATGAAAGACCAGGGCTTGCAGGACCAGGGGAGGCCACCAGGACGAGCTAGACGAGCTGATGGTCAGGAGAGCTCAGTGTCTGGGTTAGACAGTGCTCTGAGCCTGGGAGGCTTGGAGGAAGCTTTTATAATTACTAGACTTAATTGATTTTTAATTCTTCAGCGCTGAAGAGTTGACCAATTATTAAAGACATTTATATTATATCTTAAATACATGAAACGCATAGACCTTTCTGCATTTTGAAGGTGATGCCTAGATCCGGTAGTATATATTCATGTTCCTTTTATAAAAACATTTATATTCCTAGGCCCCCTCCATTAGGCCACTTTGTGGTTTATGTAAATCTTCATTAGAGTTCACTTTGACAGAATTTAAATGCACTTCAGGTGAATTCATAGATTTTTCCGTGATGTTGCAGTGTGCACAGCAAGGGGTAGTGTGCTCAGACCTGCAGACCACCAGGCCTGGCTCTGGAGTGGGTCAGGTGGCCCTGGGGTGGCTGTTAGGGGCCAGACTGGTTCCTTACTGGGGCACACACTCTGCATGTTTTTATTTCCTTCCTTTCATCGCACTCGATTGAGATAAGGGATTTTCCTAGAGTTTTTACTCAAGACACTTTAGGTCACGTTGTGGTTTAAATTCTTTTTGAGAAATGTGTGTGTGATAAAATTTATATGAAATAATTATAATACATGCTGCTACGTCACTCCAGTGCAGAGACTAGATTGGAATTCCACACTTGCATGATGAAGGCCTGTGAAGGAATTAATGTGATGTAAGTGTTGTGTAACTTCATTTCTTATTCCCTTAGTAGAGCAAATTCTTATTTTTTTCGCCTTCACTGGTAACAGCTTTTATGGGAGCCCACATCAGTCAAGTTGGATTTGAACTCAGCTGCCCTGTACTGCACTTAAAATGATGTAATATTCCAAGATGTCTGCTGCAGGTGGTGTATCATCGTACACACTAAGTGACATTTCTATCACAATCATTTTATGGAAGATGTGTGATAATCTGTTTTTACTGGTATTAATAAACACATACAATGAAGAAAACAGATAACAAATTTTAAGACCAAGGTAAGATACTTAATCAAGGCCATTTAATCAATCACATTCATTTCATGATAGAAACACATTCATATGCCAATGATCAATGTAGATTTCCAGTTGAAAAGGAGGCCCTTCAATCAGGGGCCGTCCCAGAGCCGCGACGGTGACTCCGCATTGAAGGGTGGTCCTGCTGCAGGTCGTTTTTCTCCTCTAGTTCATAATGTACGGAATTTTTATTGAAAAAATGTCAGCATCTGTACCTTCAGAAACAAAACAGCACACATTAAGGAGTTCTTGTCAATTCTCATTGCCAATGAAATGTATTCAATACTGTAGATATTAAACTAATTTCCAACGTGAAAGGCAGGAAGAGTTTTGATTCTGTCCTTTTTTACTGAGCATTTTTCCTATGACACTAGATACAGTAACTTTTTAGGAAAAGTATCATTTGCAGTATCATTGTGAACCATGACTCTTGACTGATCCCTGGGTGGGTACCATAGTGAGGTTGGTGACGCCAGTCACTTCTTCAGTTGCTTTTGTAGAACACCGACCATCATGTTTGAATGTCTTAATCTTGGGTGACTGGCCGGGGGGTGTACCCAGGGTGCCCGCATGTTTGCATGGTGAGGAAGAAGCCCCATGTGTGTGCCCTTCAGCCTCCCACAGCAGCACGGGAATAGCACTCGGTTTATTCTCAGCAGATGCCCCGGATGCATTGGACCTGTAAGGAATGTCCCCGACTGGTGCTCTGTGCTAGACATGAAGTAATGTGCATGTGGCACCCAGGTGCCTGGAGCCTGGCAGCTCAGTGGCTCGCTGTCATGACGGTGACGGCTGTACAATAAAACAATACAACCCCGCCACTCAGTTTTATCCAAAAGTATAGGTTTTGCTTTGGCATGAAAAGTGACCCTATGAACTGCATTGTGCACACAGGGTACAATAAACGCATACACGGCCGAGCACGCTTTGTTGGAGTGACACCAGAGGGCGCTAGACTGTGTGGCTGAGGGCGGGGGCGGGGTTGCTCTCCTGGTTCTGCTCAGATGTAGAGGATATGTGGCTCCAGGGTGGCCCAAGAGCGGTCCACACTGCACTGTTCCCAAAGGACATGAAAAGCTTGAATAAATCTTAAATTCTCAAAAATATCACTACTTCTGAAAGTATGAACAAAAGTGGTAAAAAAATGGCCCTGGTTCAAGAAGGGGTCACTCCAAGCAGAGACGAGCCTGGAAGGCTTTTTGTGAGAAGTAAGGGATTTCATTTGAAGTTGCGGCATGACTTGTGGGTGGGTGGCTGCTAACCAGTGTGTGGTGCATCAGCCAGAGGGTGGGTGCTCGCCGTCTGTGGAGGAACCACGACTGCGCAGTGTACACAGGGCGTGGAGGAGAACAGATGAGACTGTGGCAAGGGCCTCGTTCCCCTGGGAACATGGGGAAGGTGACCGCTGGGCAGAGGCAGGCGGTGTGCTCCGTGTGCTCAGCTCCACGCAGGTTCCGCTGGGCAGGCAGTGGGCAGGGCTCTCCCCTGAGGGACGCAGCAGGGAGCAGCGGTATTGTCTGTCAGTACATGAAAATTCATTACGCTGCTGATTGAACGTGGAATTCCTTCATTTCTAGAAATGTTAAAGTAGCAGTTATGCCTGTTTAGCCTTGAGACTTTGGGACTCCGTTGTTGAGATGAGTTTTGCTTTATGTCATACACCGAATCATTTTAATGATCCCGTTTGACTGGCTTCCAGCCATCTTTCCTGTACCCTGCTTGTGGCTGTCTAGTAAAACAAAATGAAACAAAAAGCCTTGCGGTGTTCAGAGGCGAGACTTGTCTGCATCTGTGACAGCTGAGATTGTAGTGGTTGTGCAGTATAATGGAGAGCGTCCCAGGTGAGCGCACACGTCAGCAGTGAGGCTGCAGTGTTTGCTGAGGTCCAAGAGCCGCTGGCTTCTGAGATGGCCTCTCAGATGGTGGGTTTCTGCCTCCCCTGCGGGAGTGAAGTGTTCCTCAGTCACAATGACTCCGTTTTCACCTTCGTGTGTCACCTTATACCCGTACCTCTCAGCCTGAAATGGTTCATTCTTTTAAGAGCATGTTCCTGAAAACCAGCAAGAAACCTAAGCAGACTCTCTGCCGAGCAGGAAGCCGTAGGCAGAGGGTGGCTGTGTGGGGTGCGTGGAGCCTGGAGACTCGTCTCTCCTGCCCCGGGATGCAGGGCTTCGGCGTCCGTGAGCCCCTCGCCGCAGGTGTGTGTGAGGCCCGGGTTTCTGTTGAGCTGCTGCATGTGGAAGCTGAGGGAGACTTCAGCCAGTCCCAGGGTTGGGGATGTTACCCTGAGGACACCAGAGGAGAGGAGTAGAAAGCCATGCATGAGATCTAAACTCAGTAGCAAGGTTCTTACTCCCATTGCCTCTTGGCCAAGATTTGTGCCCAGAAGTGTGTGGGAGTGGCTGGACCAGGGGCTTGCCTGGTGGTGCGTGAGTCCAGGGCCTGCCACGAGTCTATCATGGAGTGTCCTGAACTCAGATGGTAAATTTAGCGTCTAGTTCTAAAAACAGAAAATGTGCCCATGTATGTGTCTGACGTTACAGAGATTCACACATGCCCCTGCGAAGGCTGTCGCCCGGAGTCTGTGAGCAGGGGCCAGGCTGTGGGCTGGTGCTGGTCCTGGTGTGAGCGGAGCACCCGTGGGTCCCCTGGACCTTCCTGAGGGGAAGAGCAGCTCCCAGGGGGTGGTGGGGGAGTGTTCTGTGACACCCCCACCCACAGGCCTCCCTCTACCAGGCAGCGCAGATGGAAAATGAGAGCCGTGAGATTCAGAGCAAGATGGCCTCATTTTTTCACTTGATTTGTAACGTTCTACACTTCTCAAACGTGTGCAGTCCTCTTAACATTGTTAATTTACTTAAAAGATTATTCTGTCCGAGCGAACTTTTGACCAGGTGAGCACCCTTTGACTTGGTGTGACACTGTCAGCACCTGATGCTTTAAACCTCATCTCCTCAGCTCTGAAAACCGGTGCCAGGAGAAGCAGTCGCTGACGACTGCTGTTGATATTTCAGGCTGTAAATCTGAATTCCGTTCGTGCTGGAGGAACAAATACCACTGTCTCGTGCGAGAAAGCGCCTCTGAAAGCGCGCTAAGCAGTCGCTGGCTTCTCATTAGCTTCTGAAGTCTGTGTAAGGAAACACACTAACTTCTGTACATTTTGAAGACTTTTGGTCAATGAAATTTATTTTGACCCACCCATTTGGGTGCTGCTTTTATTGTTTAACTGGAATGTTAGAGATCGCCGCTGACTCAGCTGCCAGTGATGGGCCATTGAGTGTCCCCGGGAGGTGGGAGACTGTGGGTGTGGTGTTCCCCTTCCTCACACTGCAGGGGTGAAGGGGCCTCTTCCAGCCAGGGAGTCCCGCACCCTGACTGCAGGCCGTGTATTAGATGCACATTTGTAGTTTTCCCCTGGGATTGCTGGCCTTTCAGCATGAACTCTGGCCATGTTTTGGAGTATCTAATCATCCAGGCACATTGTATTTTCAAGAAATGATGGAGAGGAAGGCAGGGGCTCTGGCCTGGCCAGAGGGTGTGCTGGTCGGTGTGCTTGGTGGAAGCAGGCAGCGGTGTCGTCCTTTTCAAGTCCCCTGCAGATGCAACTCAGCCCGTAGCCTGCAGCCAGCCAGCCGTGCCAAGCCTGGCCCTAGCCCACTCCCTCCAGGGTAGCCACTGCTGAGGACACAGCCGGGACGAGGTTGGGTCGGCGGGACCTTTTGGAGCTCCTTTTGCCTTTGGCAAGGGCAGGCGTTGAGTCGAGAGCAGCCGCGGCACGGCCTGTCGCTCTGTTCTCGCTGCCCTTGGCCAGGGGCTGCCTGGCCACACAGAGCCCACGCAGGTTAGAAAATGAATGTGAAGCACAGTTGTGTTCTGAGAAGCGAGATTGCTTGTGTTCTTGATGACTCACACCCAGCCCTAACCCTAGAATGGAGGGGCAGTAGGGAGGTTCTAGTCTGTGCTACCTAGAAGGGTCATTTTAATAAGAATTACATGAATTATACTTTAGATGAATGACTTATTCGCAAGTTATTTTCACTACTCTGGTATTTCACTGTGATGTCAACATGGAAGACCTGAGATGAGTTGTTGGATTTTCAGCTCGTCAGATCTGCCGAGCACAGGATTCTGGTCGTTTGTAAATCCAAACACTGTGTGAAAATACTTCTAGTTACCACTCCTTCCTTTACAGAAGCATAACCTAACCATGAAGTAATGTTGCTTTATAGAACTATTTACTGTTCAAGGTCTGTAATTGTATTTCAAACTGATGTAGTATTCAACCTGTGAGGGGATTTGTTTTGTCGTTGTATGTGGCACCACCCTGCAGAGTAGGGGCTGCTCTGTGGTCACAGCAGGTGGGCCCTGTGCAGGTCACGTAAGTCACCCTGACGGCGGTGTTGTCTCTAGCAGTTGGCTGGGATGCGTTCACTAGGCTATTTCACGTTCGGTAATGTCTTCTGGAAAAGTCCCTGGGGTGTGTCAAGGAGACTGCGTCCCCCGCCCCTGAGGAATGTCCTTCCTGAGGCAAATAGGCGCCTTGGTATCGCACACACTGAGTAGAGAGGAGGCAGTGTTTCCAAACCCAAGGAAGCTTGCAAAGTCAGGAACTGAGCTGCTTGGGAATCGGTGCCGCCAGCGTGGCCTCGGTGATGCGGGAAGCACCGGGAAGTTCTTGACAGTCTGTGTCCTTTGAGTCACTGCACTTCTCTTTTTCCAAATGCATCCTATTGGATACGGAATAGAGCGTAGATGCCCTAGACTGAGCTCTGGGACTGTGTTGGGACCGCACAGGTGAATGTGCCCTTCCACGAATGGCGGCACCTGTGCACGTGGAGGCGGAGCTCCCGCTGTGCCGCGGCGCGCCTGGCTCTTCTTGCGGGGGTTCTGAGTGGAGCGCCGTCGGATCCTTCCCGACTGTGGCTAGGGGTCCGTCCGGGCGTGGGGAAGGGGTGTGGTGGGATCAAGGTCTGAATCTTGTGCAACCTGTGCCATGGACTGTGACATTGTAAGGTCTGTGTTCTGTATGTGGATCTCAGACCCAATCAGGAAACGGAACTCCTGTGTGTCGTTAACATTTATATTTCCCTTCAAAATATGTACTCAGTGTTTATTCCTCAAACAGACTTTGTTAATTTAGGAATATCTCCAAGTGGAAACGTGCTAACTTTTCTGTAAATCTTAAATAAAAGGTGCTGTTCCTTCCTCTAACCCAGGACTGGTTTGTGTTTTCTGTCTTCCTCTCCATGAACTCTTTTTTTTTTTTGTTAACTTTTAAATGTCCCAGCCAGGTGAAGGGAAGAGCAGAGCTTGCCGAATACAGCCCTGGGCTCTGTTCTGCTGAGCCCGTGACGAAGGCCCCTTTCCGTGGGCCTCGGCTCCTCCGTCAGTCAGAGAAGTCAGCCTCTGCTGGCCACAGGGCTGCTCTGTAAGCAGGGCCCTGGCCAGGCCAAGTGACCAGCAGCTCCCGATGACGGGCTCCTCCAGCGCCCACTGCGGTCTCCCCTCACAAGTTCTCAGCGTCGCCCCTCCCCCGACCTGTTGCCCTGTTTGATGAATGCTTGTGCTTGAGTCTGCTGCACTCGGAGCCTCTTTCTGGCTGCTGACCAGTGAGGGATGGCAGTCCCAGTGACCTTGAACGTGACCCTGCTCTAATGTGCGTTCATCCTCCTGGGAAGGTGAGAAGACCGTCTCACTGGCTGCTTCTCTGTGACTTCGTGTTTTCGCCGGCTGTGTCTAGTGAGTAGGAACAGGGCCCGTGCGCCTGTCCCTGCCGAGTCAGCAGCCAGCACCAGCGAGAGCCCTGGGGAAGTCTGCCCACCTGAGCGCTGATTTTAAGTCTGCAAAGACTCCTGTGTTTACTTTTTGTCCATGTTTTTCTTCCATCATCCCCTCTAATTTCAATGAGCTAAACCTGGAAAAGGCTCGTTGACGAGGCCACAGGATTGGTCAGATTTGCTGGTGGGGTTTGGTTTTGCTTTTCTGGTATGGCCCGGTTCCAGCTTTCAGCTTTTGTTCACTGGCAGCCAGCCAACTTGAGCACACACGCCCGCGATCGGGGGTGTGGCTCCTGCTGTGGCGCTGTTCCACTTCCAACACTGGCCTGCCCAGCAGTGAAGAGACCGAACGCCTTACGACACCCAAGGTGGCAGCTAGACAAAGAAGGTTCCCGCTTTTTTTTCATGTGAACATTTGCAAAAAAAGCTTGTCAGGTGTGGGTGAAACGCTGGGTGTGAGGTGAGGTTTTAGCATGGTCTTTGTGGTCGCCTGCAGGTCACGCGTGTACACGACTTCCACAGCTGCTCCCGGGCCTCCTACATAGATGCGAATGTTAGCAACGGCATGCGGATTTTGCCTTGCTTCTCCCTGCCTTGCTCTCCTGGTGGGGGGGAGAGAGGGACTGTGAAGTACTTGGGGGTGGAGGGATGGGGGGACGGGCGACAGGAGGGGGAAGAGAACAGGCAGTGTGCGGGTGCGAGTCGCTCAGTGAAGGAACCCCTTCTGGAAGAGCCCGCTGTCACCTGCAGCGTGGTGACGGCACAGCCGCCTCACGGAGCCTTCGCTTCGATGCTTCGCCTTGCTTCCTTTAGTCTTTCAGTGTGAGCGTGTATGTCTTAGACTAGCTGGACTGAGCGTTGGTAAGAAAGGCTGAGACGCTTGGGCCCCGAGCCACAGAGTGAGCTGATCTCATCTGTAAGGCATAGGCGTGCACACAGGTATATGCAGTGCTCGGTGGGGCAGAGTCCACTCTGAGCCCTCCGCACCGCTCAGCCGACAAGTTTCATCGCCACAACGGGCGGAGGATGTGCAGCCGGCGCACCCCGTGGGCGAGGAGGCGGGGCGGGGCCCGTGTGTGACGTCCTTCTGTGACTAGTGAACTGTGGCCCGCCTCCTTCATCTCCAGGTCTCAGACAGTCCGGGAGACGAGCCCTCAGAGTCCCCGTATGAAAGTGCGGACGAAACACAGACAGAGGTGTCCGTCTCATCTAAAAAGTCTGAACGCGGAGTGGCCGCCAAGAAGGAGTACGTGTGTCAGGTGAGGCAAGGCAGCGTGGGCCCTGGCCGTCCCTTCCTTCCTCCAGACCCTTCCCCGTGCCCATCACCACTCATGGTTCCTGCTCCGGGGGAGTTAGGTTGCCTGCAGCGTTGCCAGCTCACGTGGGGTGCGTCTCACATGATCAGTGCGGCCTGTGTGGAAGAGGGCGGGAGCTGAGCTGAGGTCTCCGTCTCCCTGCTAGAACACACACCTCGTCGGCCTGGCCCTGGGCGGCCATGCTGGTGTGGGAGCCGTGACGCCGGGTTTGGTGACTTGGAAGCCAGGGCCTGGGCTGTGTCCTGGCACAGCGACCTTGCTCAGCCCCTGTCCCACCCTCAAGACTCTGATCAAGTTGGAGCTTCTGGGTGGTACGGTTGGTGTGTGCGGAGCGCTCGCTGTCACCAGCCAGGCACGACTGGTCTCTGCCTCAGTGTGCCCGTCAGGCCCGGTGCCCCGCCTGTCCCTGCAGCGCTGTGCTGGTCCTTTCCGCCCTGGTTGTCATCCTTGCTTGCTGTGGGAAGTGCACACCTGTGCAAGGCACTGCTAGCTCACGGTGTCTGTGAGCTTGTGCTGCCCTCCGATTTCTGCCTGACACTGTTCATTACCCACAGACGCTTGTTTCTCTGAGTGACAGAGTGGGGTTTTCCGCGGCTGGAAACAGTCAGTGTCACCTGCACCCAGGAAAGGTGCAGGGCACTCCTGATGCCGCCCTTTCTGTCCCTGTCGCAGCTGTGTGAGAAGACGGGCAGCCTGCTGCTGTGCGAAGGCCCCTGCTGTGGCGCGTTCCACCTGGCCTGCCTCGGGCTCTCCAGGAGACCAGAAGGGAGGTTTACCTGCAGCGAGTGTGCCTCAGGCAAGTGCTGCAACTGAGGCAGGTCATGGGGTGGGGCGGGTCAGGGCAGGCTCCCCCTCCTCCCAGTGTGCCGCGACCCGTCCCAGGCTGGAGTTCTGCCGCTCCTTCCCGCAGACACGGAAGTTCACAGGAAGACAGCGTCAGTGTGAGCTTCCGCTCCAGCAGAAAGAACAGCTGTGAGCTGACCCGAGGGGTCTGGCTGTCCTCACACACGCCCTGAGCCAAGACAGGCGGACAGGCTGCACAGCCACACACACACCCACACACACACACGTCCACCTGCCGGGTCTGGCTGTCCTCACACACGCCCTGAGCCAAGACAGGCGGACAGGCTGCACAACCACACACACACCCACATACACACGTCCACCTGCCGGGTCTGGCTGTCCTCACACACGCCCTGAGCCAAGACAGGCGGACAGGCTGCACAACCACACACACAGACACACGTCCACCTGCCGGGTCTGGCTGTCCTCACACACGCCCTGAGCCAAGACAGGCAGACAGGCTGCACAGCCACACACACACACACACACGTCCACCTGCCGGGTCTGGCTGTCCTCACACACGCCCTGAGCCAAGACAGGCGGACAGGCTGCACAGCCACACACTCTCACACATCACACACACACCCACACACACACGTCCACCTGCCGGGTCTGGCTGTCCTCACACACGCCCTGAGCCAAGACAGGCAGACGGGCTGCACAGCCACACACACACCACACACATCACATACACACACGTCCACCTGCCGGGTCTGGCTGTCCTCACACACGCCCTGAGCCAAGACAGGCGGACAGGCTGCACAGCCACGGCCCCCCGTCCACCTGCCAGGCCTGAGCAGTCTCCTGGCTTCTCAGAACGGGTCCCAAGGGCAGAAGCAGCTGGCTGCAGCGCCGCTCTGGCTGTGTGTCTGCTTGGGTAAGCTGCACTCAGGAGGGAGCGCCTTTCTTGGGAGGGGTGGTGCCAGTGAGGGCGGCCTCCCCTTGGCTGGACTCCCTGAAGAACGCTGCCCGCGTCAGGCCGGGAAGAGAGCGCAGGCTGCCTCCAGAGCGGAGCTGGTCGCGTGAGCAGAAGTTGAGTTCCCGTTATTGAAGTTGTCTCCCCACCCTCTCTCCGCCTGCGCGTTAGGGGTGCACTCGTGCTTCGTGTGCAAGGAGAGCAAGACGGATGTCAAGCGCTGCGTCGTGACCCAGTGTGGGAAGTTCTACCATGAAGCTTGCGTGAGAAAGTACCCTCTCACGGTGTTTGAGAGCCGGGGCTTCCGCTGCCCTCTGCACAGCTGTGTAAGCTGCCACGCTTCCAACCCGTCCGGCCCAAGGCCCTCGAAAGGTAACGGACGCAGCGGCCTCGCCGGCTCTCTGCCAGGGTCACCTGACGCTCAGCTGCCGTGGGAGGCCCATGCTGCTCCTTCGCTGACTTGGCATGGGGCCGAGTTTGGGTTTTTCTTGGATGCGAGAGCTGTCCTCATTCTCCCTTCTTTCCTATCCTCGATGTAACCTTAAAAATTCTTAGTGTTAAGAGAGGGGCAGCCTTTGAACCTTTTTTTTTTTTTCTTTTTTTTTTTTTTTTGACAGGCAGAGTTAGAGAGAGAGACAGAAAGGTCTTCCTTCCGTTGGTTCACCCCCCAAAATGGCCGCTGTGGCCGGTGCGCTGCGCTGATCCGATGGCAGGAGCCAGGTGCTTCCTCCTGGTCTCCCATGGGGTGCAGGGCCCAAGCACTTGGGCCATCCTCCACTACACTCCCGGGCCACAGCAGAGAGCTGGACTGGAAGAGGGGCAACCGGGACAGAATCCAGCGCACCAACCGGGACTAGAACCAGGTGTGCCGGCGCCACAGGCGGAGGATTAGCTTAGTGAGCCACGGTGCCAGCCCTTGGACCATTTTGATAGGTTATATTCATTCTGGTTTTAATGGCTGTTCACGTGAGAAAGACATTGTAAGATGGCGTTGCATCTGCCTTGCTTCCTCTCTGGTGTGTGGGACGGAGGATGGCTGACGCTTTCTGACGCCGGAGGCTCTCCACCAGGTGCTGGGCAGTTCTGGGAGGTTTGGGGAAGCTGCTGCTGGCGTGCCCAACTCCAGCACTGGTCGGCTGTGATGCTCGTCCGTTTTCTCAGACGTTTGGAAGCATCTCTGCCTTCATGAAGACGTCTCATAAAACGTTTCAGATTTATTTCCTCCCTGAGTCCCCAGTCGTGTGCAGGCTCAGCCGTTGCTGGTGCTGGGAGCCGGCAGTGTCAGGTGTCTCAGGTGGGCGTCTGTGTCTGCAGGTAAAATGATGCGATGTGTGCGCTGCCCCGTCGCCTATCACGGAG